GCTGACTCATGTACACCCGCAATATAACGTTATGTGAAAAAATCAGCCATTACAAAACTCTTGCAGTTTTTTAACGCCAGCTCTCGGGCTACAACGTGTTAGAGTAACACGAGAGAGATAGCGAACGACGTATGAAATAACGAGAATATTACTAAAGATGTTGTATGTTTTACAATTTAGTAATAATGACACTTCGCGTTCACGAAAGGAATTTAAAAATACGTAATCGCAAATCACGAATACTTAGCGTAAATACATTTTTATCGCGTTTAAAAGTTATTTTTACACAGTACTCACTGCACACAGCGCAGAATGCATTTTCACCAGTAATCATTACGCATAGCGCAGAATGTATTATCATTTACGCAATGTTTGTATATGCTTACTTAATTGAACGCGATCTTTTGGTTAAGTGTTTCCATACTTTTTCCTCACTATGTATATGTATACATATATTAAATTATTTAATATAGAAGATACGGAAAAATGTTTCAGATAAAAATTGCATAGTTTGTAGAGTAACAAATAATGGTGAAATTAATTTGCGAAAAAATCGATCTATCAAGCAAAAACGGAGCAACTAGCAATGAAAAAATAATAATATAGAACTTTAATTTATCTTTGTCTTAACATTTAATGATTATATATGTATATAAGAAGGCTTTCATTTTTCAGAAAAATGTGTTTGTTTTTTCTACCCCTATTTTATATATAATTTTTTAAGATTTAGTAATTTAGTTGATTAGACCCAGTAGCTTTATAAGGCTCCTATATATTTGTACGGAATCCCCGAAATTTCAAATGTCTGTATTTCAAGAACTAATCAACCAAATCTTAAAGAATTCTATATGAAATAGGGGTAGAAAAGATTAAACAATATAATCGAATTATTTAAAGATTGCTAATATAATAAAAAAAGTGTGTAAGTTTGAAAGTTGCACATTTTGCTTCCTAGGTACGGATTCTTCGTAATTTCAAACGGTTATAGCTCAAGAACTAATCAACCAAATCTTAAAAAATTATATATGAAATAGGGGGTAGAAAAGACTGAAGAATATAATAAAATTAAAAATAGACCGATATCTCAAATATTGAGAAAGTTACAGCGTAAAACGCATCATCTTTCTGAAAAATGAAAACTCCCCTAAAATCTATACCGTTTAACGGATTTTAAGAAAATTAGAGGAGAACATACTTTCTATCATACTCTATTTGTGTACAAAATTTCAGCCCGGTATCTAAAAAATTGTAGAAGTAGATGCGTGTACAAAAATCCGTACGCACACACATACACACACACACACACCCATATACGAGGTTTACAAAAACGAAGCTTCCTCTATGAGGAAGCAATAAAAACCGGAATGAAAGAGGAGAACGATCAAATAGGATTTAAGTTTG